GAAATTGTATTCAACGAAAGGAAACTGGGACCACAAAAGGCCACAACATCCTGGTCTTGATATCTTCTGGTTAGACATGTGAATAATAGTTCATTATAAAGGCATGATAGGTTTATACCGGAAACGTGATGAACGCAGGGAAGAAGGAGAGGTACCACAATTGTTTAGCACACGTTTATTCAAAGGATCGGCCTAATTTTGTTGAATGGTGATAGGAATGGCAAGACTCATTGACGATCCCGGCTAAACGTTTGGGAATGTACCACATCGATTCATACAATGTACTTTTACAACCAATATGACAAAAGGAGACTGTGACTAAACAAAAGGCCACACCATCTTGGTCTTCATATTTTCTGGTTAGACCTTGTTTTGGCTACTTAGTCAAAGCGTCTGAGCTTTTAATTGCCGTCCTCGATAAGATTAAATTCGAGGAGCAGATAATGCCAATGCCAGTGACTAGGCTTAAAACCAACTGTCATTTCCACCCACATGTCCCGGTGTGGAGCTGGTGCAAAAGTGCACGGCTTCTATTTCTTCCCCTTCAATCGCGAAAACAAGTTGACACTCATCTAAGCCTAGGCTACTACGATGTTCATAGGTTTTTTGGTTCGTATCCCCGGGGTCAAGTATGTCACCAGTAGCACATACATGAAAGGCTAGGGAGAGGAAGATTACCAGGCACTGGTATGGACATCATGTGCTCTGAATCCTCGAATATGGCGTAATCGAGGACTGGAATCGAAGGCAGAAAAATTGTTTTTGATGTTTGGCATCGGCTAGGGGATTAAAATGAGCGGGACGTCGGAAGACGTCTAGGAAAGACGAAATGATCATGTATCGCATCCATAATACATGCAATATAGCATAATATCGACATGTACAGGATTGAGAGTAGGATAAAAATGCAGTGAAGCAGCGGAACGAATGAACCTACATGTTTTTTCTTACCTTTTTTACATCCATGTTGAGAATTCTCGTCAACTCGGATGCATCCGGGTGCGAAGCGAACTAGAAATAAAACTAGAACAACCATGCTTAGAAGCAGGATTTCTACTATTGTTGTGCAAATAAAAAAATAAAAAAGAGGTAAACAATGTCAGACGTTCGGGGCAAGGACAAAGCCCTTAAGCACGGCTGTGATATGAGAATAGCGACAAACCACAGCCATGTGAGGGGTTTAATGTCTGCCCAATCGAGGCCGATTATCCACACGCCTCGTCACCTAAGCAGAACTGTGATATTACCATCGGACCGTTGCAACATGGTCTCATCTGTACGAATATCACAATGCAGTTAGGACGAATTGACGTGGTCAACACAGAGACGCTCTTCGCATGCGTTTAGACATCAATATTGGCTGTGATGACTACGACGGCGGTTGGACCGTCTCGAACAATCGGTACCGCAGCCAAAATTGAAGACCAACCTCGCCTACGACGAATGCGATCAGGGCAGCAGAGGCAATGAGAATGCAACGAGAAAATACATTGTTCAACCAACTTACCGAAAACCCGTGAAGTTTATGACGACATGCATTAGAAAGACATGGCATGAGACGTTGCTGATAGGGAGAAACTCGTCGCCAAACCGACAGACGAGGGTTGGCGAGTCGAGCTTGTCGACCATTGCGTCTCACTACTCAAGTCTTTCAAAATCACACCGTCACCGGCCGACCAGGCAGAGGGGCGAATTGAAGAGGATGTGTTAGATTAGCCTTAAATAGAGATCAGGTTGGCGGGCCGACCGAGCCAAAGGGAGCGGTGAGAGACGGACAAAAGGCTGATCCAACCGAGGGGATCATCTCGCTCTCCGCGGTGGCCACTTCGGCCGCGGCCACAATCCCGCCATCCTCCGGTACCAGCGGCCAGACTCAGAGACCCCCCGGGCCCTGGGCCCGGATCGATAGGAGTATGAGCTGTGTTCATCCGAATCGGAGCCCAAATGGGCTTGCCTCGTTGGCCCAAGCCCAGGCGAGTGGATGCCGACCAATGGGAGGAGGGAGGCACGATTCAGACGAGACAATCTGCACACCCCAACCGACCTATCACTGACTCGACGTGGTTCACTCTCCTCCTCTCGATTGTGTCGCGGGCCCACGCACAAGTCTATGCTCACTCTCGCTCTCTCGCAATATCCGTGTCTGTCTGTCTCTCTCTCTTTCCTCTCGCGGCGGCACACTGACGCCCAGTCGTGTCTGACTAATCGTGCACCCAAGGCCGAGATGAGATGAGATGAGATGAGATGAAATGAAATGAGCCAAGTCGGTCTCGTTTGTCGCCCGATTGGACATGCCTTCAATCCACTCCGGGCCCGGCTTCTATGCGCCGGATTAGTCATGTCCGACATGCCCATTGCGGACGGATCATAAGTCATCCACTATCCACCCTTTTGACTTTTACCCCCTTTTCATACCATCTCACCACACCCAGCCACGTCGGAGACCATCCCTCGTCGACTCCGGTCAAGGGACAATCACACCAGACGGCCCAAAACCCGTACAAATGATGGCATATGTTGGCAAACACCATCTTATCTCGCTCATTCCGCATGGCCTATCGGCCTGCGTCTTCCGTTTCGGCCATGTCGTGGTCTCATCGGGACCACTTATTTGTACGCCGAATCGGCCGAAACGCCGCTTTCGGTCTGATATGTCGCCTCTGGGCCTGGCTCGTCTGCCCACTTTTGGGAAAAACACACTCTAATCCGATCGTCCATTCCTTGTCGGCTTACGGGCCTGTCTTCTGTGTATAATTGTATGTGTATGTGTGTAAGGAGAGAGAGAAAGAAAATTAATTCCATCATCTGTAGAATCGTGTCTGCCAATGATGTGCTTTAGGAGGCGAAAGTGCCCGAATTGTATGCACTGTGTGTGTCTTCGTGCCGCATTCCTACCTGATTGGGGCCATGTACGGTGTGGTGTGATGTGGTTTGCTTTTGTCTGATATGGTGTGCTGTTTTGTTGCGTGTTGGTGTGTTGTGCTGGCATGCATTGTGTGGCGGCATCGTGTGGCGACAGGGCTTAGTGTAGAGGTGTTGGCTGGAGGCCTGTGTCTGTCAGTCCGGTACCGGTCGGCTGGACAGGATCCACTTGAAGTCCTAATCTCAACAACCCACGACAAGCCCCTGCGTCCTGGTTTGCGGCCTTCGAAGGGTGTGCACTTGGGCCTGACCCAGGCCGAGACAGGCCCAACGACCGATTAGCTTTTCCGTCGGTATCGCAGACGTTCCATTGACGTGTGTCCCATTGTGCCTACACACAGCCAGACAGATTGGACACACAACCGCCTTAGAAAATCCGAAATCCTCGTCTTAAGCCCCTGTTGCGAAAGGCCTGTACATATTCTAATTTTCTGGTCGTCTATTTCGTCCTCCTTCATGTCCATGTTGTCGTCTATTCACTCATTCGGGCATCGCAAAACTGACCCAATTAAGGGCTAGCTGCATACGGACGTTGACGTGATGCAGAATAGTCTAAGACTGGTTGCGATGTGTAGTTATTATAAATTATCATATCGAGACTACTTAAGATAATATAAGTAGTAATAATGGAATCATAAAGCTCTAATCCAGTAGGAAGCGATGAGGATGGCTAGTCCCAAACCACTGTTAAGTTTAAATGAAAAGCAGACTAAATGAACATTATCTTCAGCGTGTGGTCTATTAATATCAATGTGATTGTATTGTATTAATATATTTTACCAATCAGGGATAACGATGTTTTTTATTTTAGAATCAATCATCAGCACTATTAGTTGCATTTTCCCACAATCATATGAGTATGTCCCACGTTTCCATGTTAATTTCGTTATCCTATCTTACCAAAACATGTTTTCATCCAAGCTGGTGTGCAGTTTCTGCCTCGGATAGGTCTCATCACTATTGGGTTTAGAGACCCAGTGTATGCGATATAAAGTTGCGTTTCAAGGAATGTCTACTTTCCTAATTGTTGAGCTTACTTCCATTTCGGGTGTAAGTGTCTAGTGAAGAGATTCGAAGATCGATTCCACCAGAAAACGACGGCGGACGCTGTTTCAAGGTAATCTCGTCAGACACATTTTTCAGCTATACCCACTGTTCGAGAGAAAATTTACCTTTCATCCAGATCTGGTTGCTATAACTTAATGAATGCATTGTAAGGGGGACCTTCATTTCGTATAAAAGTGCATGAAGAAGAGATTCATTGGCCGATCTCACCAGATTAGGACGGATGAAACTCGTTGTGCTGCAGCGGTTGGATTTTATACGATATGCTTCCTCGATGGACATCATCAGATCTGGGTGTGATTCTTGTAAAAGGCTTTCGTTAACACTAGTCCAAGAAAACTATCTTACATCAGAAAATAAAAATAAAAAACCTAGATGAATATAGAGTGGTTTAACTAATCATCTTTCATACTTGAGTGTGTGTGTGTGTGTGTGTGTTGCGTCTATACGCAATACCGATCCTAAATCAGAGTTATCAAAAGGTTAAAGATTGGCTCTGATCAAACCCAGTTTATCTTCGTATCCATAATGAATTCATATGGTGGCTTTTTATGTGGGAGATACGTTTCATTTCATTCGGCAAAGAGTGTATGAACACAAGGCAGAAACTGGAAACTTCTCGTTTTGCTGAATATGGCATGTCTGCGACTAAACGAAAAATTAGAGAAACCATCGAAATAAGACGAATAGGAAATGCATTGAATGCAACGAATACCGGCTTAATTAATATAAGATGTATTAAACCTATTTCGCTTATGGTGATGAAGGACAGATAGAAGAATTTTCCCACAATCCTATGAGTAGAGCTGAGGCTACATTGAATTTCATATACACATGCTTTCCAAAAAGTTGTCCTCATTCTTGGAATGGAGACGTCAGCTCTACTCATAGGATTGTGGGAAATTTCTTCTACCAGCCCTTCATCACCTTAAACGAAATAGGGTAAATACATCTCATACTGCTGATTTACTGGTAGTCTGGAAACTCTTCTTACATTCGAATAATTAATTAATATACTCAAAGATAGAGAGCTGCCTGCAAAAAGGAGTCGACGCAACTATACTTTTCTTATCTTCCTTCTAATCACGGTCACTTCTCTGTACTTTTAGCTCAGTCTTTCTCTCTTGCATGGAGACTAAAATAAAAAAGGCTCATCAACATAAACCGACATGTGACGGAATTTGCGCAATCGGAGTGATGGTTATAACTTAAATGTATAAAGGGGGAGGTAGGGGTCATCAAACCTTGGTGGCCAAAAACAGACGTTCCTTTTTGCTGTCCTCATTACTTTGAGCCATCACTGCGGGTTTCGTGCATTCGCGGTCACAAACATGCACATACAAATACAGAGACAGACACACTTACATGCATCGAAGTTGACCTATAACTGTAACTAACCAACTCAGGCCAGATATAGAGAATAGATACTACTTTTTAGGGATTTGAGGGTGAGTATTCTTGACTCGTTAGCTTGAATTTTGTTGTAATGATGATACGTCTGATGATGTTCGTCATGTGACGGACGAAAGCTTAGTACGTTTTCACCGGAATCGAAGAAGATCACTTTGGAAAGCCAGTAAAGCCAATCGACAGCTGGTCAAGAAGAATTATTCCTCGTCTTCTGGTGGAACCGAGCTTCGAATCTTTTCACCCAACACTTTCACTCGAAATGGAAGTAAGCTCAACAATTTCGGAATCTACTCTTAGGAGTACTATAAATGTAGTTGATATCGAAATAAATCAGAAATGTGAGAGGCTTGCCATTCAATAAAATAAACGTCCCCGTATGACCAAGAGGCAATCGGTGAACGCTGTAACCTGAAGTTAATGAGTCGAGAGTATAGACTGGCGTTGGTAATGAAACCTCAGCGTGGTTGACACATTATTCCATCCCGAGTGAAAATAGGTTTTGGAGAGCTAAACAAAATGCAAGTAAGTGGCAACGCGAATGTTCAAAAACTCCACAAGCATTGCCTCATTAGTTGCGAATTTTGGTCGCCACAACTCTTATTCAAGCAGTAAAGATGGTCTTAATTTGGCATGACAGGATGAGAAATTTTGTTACGCAGAGGAGTTTGGATAACGCCTAATCTCATGAATAGGCATTACTGTTTTGAAAGCATATTTGGTTTATGCTAATTGGAGACATCTTCGAGTCGCATTTCCGAGGCAGATTGGACTGCCATTTATGCATAAATATATTATTGCATATTCGAGAAGGCGCAAGTTTGTGTGCATCTCTTAGAATATCTACAGAAAGAGCTGATGGAAGGAAACCTCAAACTACATCCTGACGCATCATTAGAGGCCAGACCCTAACCAAAGGAACCCAGTATTGCTTAATCTCTAATTAAAACAAAAACCTAAATACGAAAGATCTTGAATTTGTTGTATAATTTTGTTTTCGCGCCTCGATCACAGTAATAATACACACCGCGAAGTTATCTAAACTATTAGTAATTATAATTTCTAGCATGTGACGATAGTCCTGGTACCTTCAAAGATGTTTCGACGGCATCGCGGTCAACCTCGTCATTGAGAAGCGGCATTCTTAGCACTGGGTTTTATGACATTGTTCCCGTTAAAAACAGAGCAAAAAATGTGATAGAGATGCTCAACAAAAAGCACCAAATATGATTTTATCAAAGATATAAAGACAAAGATGGTGTGGCCTTTTGTGTGGTCGCAGTCTTCTTTCGTTGTGTAGAGGTTGTTTGGAATGTACCACGTCCACGGTCCTCTAAGTCTCCCTACCAACATGACCAAGTTGCGAAAACAAGGAGACTTCGACCACACAAAAGGCCACACCATCTTGGTCTTCATACCTTCGATTATGACTTATTCAGTTGGTTGATGTTTCTTATAAGTTCCGCAAGTTCTTCTTTGTGAATAAAATATCAAAATAACGAGAAAATCCATACCAACCGTAGATAAAATTTTGAAGGCATGAGTTCAATTTCTGAATTTTATAGAGTACAGTAGTATTTCTTTTTGTTCATATGTTCTCAAAGCATACGTGTACAATGCGACCTCGACGTCAAATGGACTCAAGTCGTGCGTATATATAATAGCAATGTAGTCGAGTGGTTAACGTGTCAATCTGCCATCCTGTACTGTCACGGTTCGAATCCCGCTGGGCGTGTTGATAAGACCTACGCGAGGTCGAAACTGTAGTCCACTGGTACCTGAATGAGAACAACTTTTGGGAAAGCAAAGCTGTGTGAAATTCAATGGAAACGTCAACTCAACTCATATCATTGTGGAAAAATTCTTCTTATACCAGTCCTTCATCACCTTCAATGAAATAGGGTGAATATATCTCATATATAATAGCAGCACTTTGCTACTACGCGGTAGAGCAACATCTACCAGTAGCACACAGAACAGACGGACTGTGTGATTGTAGATATGAAAAGCAAGATGGTGCGACCTGCTGTTTGGTCGCAGTCTGTCGGACTGTTGATGAGAAACATTTATATCTGCCATAACAACCGACGACCGTCACTGTAATAGCAATGGTAATAACAATTCTTATTCTGAAATGAGTATAAATCGAAGATAGGCTGGCATGTGATTAATTCATAGGCGCTTTTTGCTTCATCAACTAGTCTAGAGCTCTTTTTCGAAAGTGTTATTGTCAGCCAGACTTCGAGCGGGTGACCTGAATTGCATTCTTTAGAATTGTCGTCCTGAAGTATTCTAGTTTCAGATCGTTGATCTGATACATCCGCAGATATTTCACAAGCTTCTATCGAACTTGTATGAAACAAGAAGAGTCAATCTTTCGAATCCACGTTCTCGTACAAGCGAAGGTATGAATACCAAGATGGTGTGGCCTTTTGTGTGGTCACAGTCTCCTTTGGTTCCATAGAGGTTGTTTGACCTTGTTT